CCCTCCCGCCTTCCACCCAGCCCCGTGTCGGCAGCTCTGAATGCTGGTCCCTAAAACCTCGGCAGTTTGAGCAAAATAAAGACAAGTTGTAATAATGCAGCTCTTTGTCTTTCAGATTTCAGGTACTCAGACTCCACCTTTACCTTTACCTACATTGGAGGCTCCAAAAGGTACTTTTTTTTTTTTTTTTTTTCACCAAAAATGTAATTTAAATGTGTATGCATTTATAGCATCCTAATAAGCTGCAAAAATTTGTAAAACTAGAGATAAGGTCCATAATTTGTACATGTATAATGTAATCTGATGACAAATACTGAGTTGTGGCGATTCAGTATAGTTAAAAGTATTAGTAATTATTTTAAATTACATGTGATGTACTGATTTAAAGACACATTTCCTGTGACAGCACAGAAAATTAGGAAGCTTTTGGGTAGTCTTGAAAAGAAAAACATGCTTCAGTTAATATATTTCAGCAGACACTTTTATGTCAGCTTCATTTTACTCCTCTTGCCTTGGGGCAGTGACTGTTTTGTTTGAGTAATTTGTTAGAATCATTGAGTTCTTATGAAACATTTGCAAATTGATGAATTGTTAAAATCAAGATAGAGGGGGAAAGAGTGTTGGTTTAGGCTGTGCTTTATCTCTCCTCTCGGAGGGTCCAAAAGGTTCTTTTTTTTTTTTTTTTTTGTACAGTAATGACTCCCTTCATTTCCTGCTAGCACTGAGGTGCAGTGGTTCGATACCATGGCAGGCTTCTTTTGTTTCCTTTTGCACAAGGAGGATCAGTAAATCATGTGCCTTCGTGCAAAGGTAAACCGAGGAGGAGGAAGTGTGGAGGGAGGTGATCAGAAAGGTGATCCTGGTTGTCACAGGCTCATTCCTCTGAGTGCTGCTCTGAGGAACTTCACTGTTGGTCTTCTTTTTTCTTTTTTTTTTTTTTTTTAATTTATGTGCATATGTAAAATTTCTGCTGTACGTCAACAAAAACACAGCAAAGGCATCAACATGATAACACGCTATAAAGTTAATTTGTTTTAAAAATCTGGGAAAAGTTACAATTTTAATAAGCAGTAGGCCAAATTTCACATCAGCACCTTATTCTCTTGCATGAGAGCCATATTTAGCCCTGTGACAGATGCAAGACTGTCTGCAATTGACCAAATCAAATTCCTGAGACATTAAGTGAATTGTCAGTGTAGCTTATAAGGCTAAAAAATGCTTTTATTGAATGGTAGCTTAAATATTATTTCTAAGTGGTTCCAAGGTTTTGGTTATAAACTGGATTGTGCATGTGCACATTTTTAAATTATATTTCAGCATTTTTGGTGTTTATCTGTTTTCAAAAGGAAATACATGTAAAAGCTTGAACACACGTCCTTTTGATTTCCCCAACTCTTAGTTACCTTTTTATTTAATAAGGTATTAACATTATATGTTAAGTCATTCTCTTATCTTTGAGATGAATTTTATTAGACTTGGCAAGAAGTCCTGGTTTGATGATTTTTGTTGTTTGTTTGTTTTAATTTTTCTCTTTTTTTCGGTTCGTCCGGTATCTTCGGCAGTTGTTTTTCTTTCCCGAGGTATGCCAGGTTAAAGTACAGTGTTCTTTGCAAGGGAGCCTTTCGGTGCAGGCAGCACTCCCGCAGCCACCGGTTCTCCCCGGTGCGTGCTTCGGGGCCTGGCTGCAGGACCAGGCTCCCAGATGGTCCCCAGCCTGCGAGGCTGCTCAGAAAAATGCTTTCCCACCTCACTACCCTGCCCCTTCCTACCAAAGGAGAAGACAACTTCTCTCATTTTCTATGGAGTAGGATAGTTCACCCAGTACCTGAGAATCAATGTATTTTCAGGTTGCTTGTACTGTACTCTTTCATTTAAGGTTTTAGTATATGAAAACATACACTTTGGTCTTGTTTTAAATGGCAATTTTTGAAAGTGTTGATACAGTAAAAATTATCTAACAGAAATATGACTTATGTAATTAAAATGATTGAATTTGAAACTTACTTTACACTGCTTTCTAAACCAAATATTGCAGCAAGAAACCAGGAAGTGAAACCTGTCTATTGTTTCAATTTTCCAAGCTGAATGAAGTGAAAAGCCTGAGGGCGTAACTGATGGGAAACAAACTGGTTTATAAATACTGAAACAAAACATTGTCACTTATACAAGGAGAGACGGAAGAGGACCTTGCATCCCGCAGCCTTGGGTTTTAACTGGGGTCAGCATTTGCCAAGGACACTGTTGACTGGAAACTAGTCTCAAGGCCTTGAAAATCCAGACTGATTTGAGGAACAAAGGTTATGCTTACAGAAATTGGCGAAAGTGGGTGGTTACTTAGAGCACACTCAAATTTCACTTTCCTTTTCACATTTTAAGGACATTTAAAAACTATCCTATGAGATGAGCGTTTCATGTTCTCTGCTTGTTTGTACTGTCCTCCAGAAGGACCCCTTACAATATGCTTAGCGTGGTGTACTGAGGGGCAGGTTTATGGTGGTAAGCTCCCTTGTGAAGCACATAAAATGAAAACCTTAAGCCTTGACCGTTAAGGGCCAAACTTCAGTTTCTCACATCGAAGATGAGCTAGTGGTTTCTTGTCGGAGCCGGCGCTGGCCGAGCAGCAGCCACACTGCCCTGTGGGCAGCGCTGGGGCCTGTCTCCAGACCAGGGTCCACAGCAGCCGCTGCTGCGTGATACCAGGTTAGGAGACCACAAGGCCATCTCAGGATCTTTTTCTTGCATTTGACTGTGATTTTATTTTTTTTTTTCTTTCCCACCACTGCTGCAGCTGTGATCTGCCTGAGTGCTGACTTCAGTTTTTCGACTATTGCACTCAGGAATTGTCCCTAAATAACAAAACCTCTCCTAGCTCGTGGTCACAGACTTGCGTGTCAGCCACAGGCCTTGTCCGGTTACTTCAGATACTCCGGCTGACGACTTGTTATTTGAACCAGCAGGGACACAGGCTTTTGGGGAATGGGCAAAGGGGTGGATGTTCACTGGGTGGATATTCAAACCAAGAAACAGGTTTAAATGAGCCAGAGTACAAATGGCGTGTAAGGAAGATCACAGTACTGTACGACTCGCTAGCTGTGGTTGCAACTAACTCCTTTTCATGCTTTATTTCCTTCAGATGTTCCTTTAGGTCAGTGTGTATTATGGCTTTGCTTTTAGCCTTAGCGGTTAGCTACAACAGCAGAAACCCTTAAAAGGAGGCAACAAGCTTTCTGTCTGGGTTTTTCATCTTACCCCCCTATAAAGGCAGGTGGCAATACTAGCAAGATAAACTTCACTGGGGGCATTCCTCTGCATACTGTAGTTGCCTCCAGTGCCCATTAACTCCATTTATGAGTAGTCTTAATTTATGAACTCAGAGCCAGATTCTCAATAAATCAGTCTTAAGTCCATGGAAGCCAGTGTATCAGCATTATTCACTTATGATGAGGACCCAAGGTTTATTTGTGTTTGTTCTTTAAACTGTTAAGTTTATCTGTGTGAGATTTTTCTTCTTTGGGCCAGCTTCTCTGTCTTTATCTGATTTTTCCCTGTTGCTTGGATTGATTGCACAGCCTCTTCGTACATTAGTACTATTCAAATATTGAGGTAGTACATAACCACACTGCAGATCAATCCAAATAGATAGGCCTGATCTGGAGCACATTTATCATCACTTAAGTGGAGTTAACTTGTATTCCAACAGTAAAGTGCTTAACCAAACCCTGAGGACACGACTTAGCTTTCGTTCAGCTACAGAGGTTCTAGAGAAACCCACTGAGAACTATTATTTTTTTATTCTTCATATAGACCTGTTCCAGCATTTGACCTTTAGGTGATATTAAGCTATTATATTGTGTAAATAGTCTATGTGTAAATGATCACTAGATGGGCATAAATACCTTTCAAGGGAGATTTTGCATTTACAGGATTTTTCTTGAAAAGTTAGAAGGGAATAATCTCTGTAAGTACGGACATATTTGTGTTGTGTGAATTACCATAAATAATCCTTTACCTACATAGTTCAGTTAAACCTTTTGGACTGTATTTCACTATACTTCTCTTTTTAAAAAAAAAAATGCACTGTGTTCACACTTCCAAACAATTTGAGTTGTTTGACACTGCAGAGGTGCCTCCTGGTTTGAGAAGGTTTCAATTAGCAATTTATTAGTGAAAGCACATCTTTGTGCATAATGTGAGCTCTAAATATGGGGCGATTGTTTATCGATGTAGTAATTTTTAATTTCATTGTCAGAAAGCACTAAGTAGGGTGATGGATTTCTTATAAAGTGAGGTGTTCATTTGGGTGCTGTGACTGTGCAAGATTTACTCTTCTTTAACTACATCTGGCAGAATATCAGAAATGGCTGGATTTTTTATGCTTTTTACTGCAGGATCTAAAAAGGATATTAAAGTGTGAACACATCAAGTTCTCATTTTTTTAAAAAATAATCTCATTTCCTTGTTCTCTTTTTTCTGCCCCTGTATGAAACATTGCTCCTCCAGAAACCGTGCAGACTGAACAGAACTGCTGATCTGTCACCTTTCAGAATAAAAATGCGTGATGCCCTGAAGTTGTTTTCACTTGATATGTCATTTAACATGGTTTACACAGAAGCAGTGCTTGGTTGTCCTGAAAAAAAAGATGTTTCCTTTTTTTAGTGTTTTTTCTCAGCGCCTTTTTTTTTTTTTTCTGAGGCTAAACGAGGACATCACACCAGTCCTGAAATAAATACCTCTTTATTCAAATATGTACGTAACTCCCATTGGCAGCAAGGGATGATGACAATAAGGCTGTGCATGAGAACAGATCTAATGCTGCAGCATATTGTAAAGAAACTAGATAAGACCTGTAAGAACCGAACACATTAATTTTGTCAGCAAAATTCCCATCTTCTGTTTGCACAGTGGACTCCTGTGTTCTGCTTTCCGTACTTTGGCACAATGATTATAAGAATGGCAGTTCCGAAGAAGCAAGGAAGGTTGAATTTTGGCCTGAAGTAATTGGGTTTTTTTTTTGCTTAAAATAGTGACAAATTTTTAACTTAGACTGCTTTGATTTTGAATATTTGGCTTTTTGTTTTCTATTCAAGAGGTTACACATAGTGCTTAATATTGTAGTATCAGAAATTCTCATGTAAACTGATGAATTAATTCCCACCTCACTGTAGCAGTG